AACCAAGCTAGACCTACATTTTGCTCATTTTAAATGGTCATTATGAAGCAGAAACTCTTGAGCATATGTCCAGAGACCTCGGACCTTCAATGCTTTGCAAAGATGTTTATTTTCTAAGCAGTATGCTGCACTGCAGGTAATCTTCATTTCCAGTACCGTATTTATTGTTGACAGACTGTTTTTAATATCCTTATTGAATAAAAGTAAGAAATGATTAACGGCTCCATAGGAATGAGCTGGTGTGGCCTAATTTATTAATTTACAGTTTGCACAAAGACTGCAAATAACTATTCTAGCCTCTTAAAAGCCAGTGTCAGGAATGATTAATGCATCACCGATGGCGCGCTTCTCTGGGGATATGCAGAGCAGATTATTTCCCTTTAAAAAGTGTGGCGTTCCTAATATTTAAATTAATTGAATTAGGATTTTGTATTTAGGCATCATTGTGCTGCTGGTTTATTGAGATAGTGACAAAAAGGTCTGCTGGCCAGACAAAAAAATGAGCATGTTCATTTATGTTTTGTGTAAAAATGACGAGTTTCCCAATTTTCTGGCAAGAAAGACAGAAAGGACAGGACAAAGGATGAGAAAAGTAATACATTATTGTTATGTGGAGAAAATGGATGGGAGAGGCAAACAATGAAACAGCAAGCAAGAAAAATCAAAAACTCTTGTTTAAAAGTGCCTGAAGTGCCCCATAGCAACCAGTCAGGCCCTCCCTTTAACTTCAGAACCGGCACTGACAAGAACGCAGGTTGTGGACAATGTGATTGGTTGCCGCAATCAACACTGACAGTCTTTTCAGGTTGTTATTATTATAGCCTAGGAAGCTTAGGGGTCTATTCACAAAGCTGCCGAAGGATCTGGCCGTAGCTTCGGCCGATCCTTCGGCTAGCTTCGGCACCAGGACCCCTTCGGTTCAGGAGAACCGAGGGGTGCTGTACGGCTATTCACAATAGCCCGTACAGCTCCCGATCACGGCCGAGCGGCTCAGTCGAGCGCTGAGCCGTGCTGAAAGACGAAGCTGGCCGAGCGGCCGGCCATTGGCCGGCCGACAGCCTGCTTCTGACAGCTAGCCTGAAGTGAATAGCCGAACAGTGTTCGGCTCACTTCACTTCTGATCGGTCATTCACTCGGCTGCCCTCGGCAGCTTTGTGAATAGACCCCTTAGAGAGAGGAGTGAGAGATAAATTTAAAACTGGGAGAATGAGAAGGAAAGAGAGAGGGTAGAAGCGATGTATAAATCAAGGCTAAGTAAAATATAATGCTGGAAGATTGTTTCAGAGAGTTACAGTCAGAGGAAAATTAAAGTCCAACTCTACCTAGAAGTTATATTTCAAGTGATATTAAAGTCAAAAGGTTTTTAAGCTATTTAAAATGCTGCTTAAACCATTTACAATGGATGTTGCTCCTTGATGTTTAAAAGTTTGTGTTCTGCAGAATCAGCTGGTCCCCTGAGTACTGGCCCTGGTATCCTGCTTTAGGGTGGCCCTTCCTTTTGTATGATTCTATGGAGCCACCCTTGTGGTTGCTAGTAAGCTGTGTGTGTCTCCACAAAGACACCGCAAGGCAAGCCACTTACCTGCTCATGGATCCTCCCTTCTCCAAGCTGGTAGATGGACAGCTGTTGGAGACTGCACTGTCCCTTTAGATTTTTGTACTGGACAGGAAATTCAGGGAAGCTGAGCTGAGAGAGTTGGAGCTATTTGGCAACATGAAGACTGTGTGTGCTTGGACAAAAATGTAAAGAAATGATTTGCTGGGCAATGTTTATTTGTTTGATCTGGATGCATTGTTGAAAAAAGATTGAGTTTAATACTATTTTCAGTTTTACTTGGTTGCTGGTAATTTTAATTCAATTTTTATAGATAATATGACTGCTGAAATCAGCCTAACCTGATTGCCACTTATAGTCCTGGACTAAATACCCACTTATTTAGTTCACAAATGGCATTTTCAGGTAATAAAATGTGTATATTTACCCCAGTGAGAGACAGCAAAATATTTTTTTCAATATACTTAAAATTCTAGAAGCATTAGGAAATATATATGTATGATGTGTGTGTATGAAATGTAGCTTTTGAATTTTGCATTGTGAGAGGTGAACTTCCACTTTTACAGAACACTTCATAAGCCACCAAAATGTTTTCTGGACGTTCCAACAGGATGACATATTGTGAAAGTCACATCCCTATGAAGAGCGTGTGACTTTAATGACGTTTACTGTTCAACAAAGACAATTAAAAACTTCCTCTTCTGTTTCATTGTCCTGTCTATCAGCCCCGTAAATGTTGCCAGAGGAAACAACTGTCGGTACAGTTTCCTGCATGGGACCCTCTGCAAACTGTTTTGTGACACTTCTCACAGTGACCCTAGAAGGCGCAATACACAAACTGACCCCTTAGGGAGCAAAGTAATCTCAGCAAGTGCTTTTTACCTCATACAAGCTAGAAGAATGCATGTCACATCAGTTGAAGGAGAAATCAGTTCACATCAGTCACATCAGTTAAAAATCATACCCTTAGGATCTCTGTTACATACATTTATTCTTTCTGTTTTACCTTACCATTGTTTTGATGCACACACAAACTCTGGTTCAGCATTACTGCTGCCTTGGTCAGCTCTCTGCTCAAAGGTGATGATGCCAATTCAATGTTCAGTGGGGATTTTGGAGGTGGGAAGGTGACATAAGAAGCTGAATTGCTGGACCAGGAAGATAAATTGCTTTATCAAGGACTATGTGTGCCACGTATCTGGCTGTGCAATGTGATAAATGTGTGTAAATTACAAGACTGGCTGTAGACAATTACACATTTGTTGACATTTGGTACAGTAATCATTTATGTAGTACATTTCATGTGTAGTTGGCTGTTTGCATTGATTTCATTTTGAGCACCTGAAATTGTGCTAACTTATCGGGTGACTATAGCAAAATAATGACTGCTGAAATTTTGCTTCCTCGGCTGTTCCCCAGTGGAGTAGTAGCAGCACACTGAGGAGGCCAATCCTGTGCACTTTCTTCCTGCGCAAAGCATAGAAATCTTGATTGGCCCAGAATGCTAACATTTCCTCTCCAAGTCTGAGGCTCGCTATGTAGGTGACCACAAGCAGCTAATACAAAGAGAAAGTCTAGTAGCTGTATAAAATAAATACATTTTTATATATAGTTCCCTTTTATTATAATTTTTATGATTTTAATGAATAAATAATTGGTACAAATAGTGTTTTTGGCCTGCTATTTGGCTTTAAAGAAGAACCTGGCCACATTAAAAAACAAATATGCCCACCCCTCAGCTCCTCAGGATTCTCTAGCTTGGCTATTTCCCAAAAAACATGTTCTAACACCTAGTAAAACTCAGCTTAATCCACAGTCTTTTAACAGCCATCACCCCAAACCTCTGCTTTTCTGGGCTGGAATGTCGACGGGTACTATGAGCACCACCTGCGTTCCATCCTGCAGATGTCCTTACAAATTACTACAAAGTTTAAATCGCATTCACACTGCCACGGTCTCAAAACCACAAGGTATATGTGGTGCCCAGGTGACCACACGGATTGCGCCGTTCAAAACTCTAATAGTAAATAAAAGTAATTCACTGGCACACACTTGAAGGGTTTTTAAAGTATTGATATGTTTATTCAATACCCAATGTCACATACTGTCATACGGTGCTAACGTATCGGGTCCGCACAAGGATCCCTTATCAAAGCGACAGTGATGAAGGATCCCTGTGCGGACCCGAAATGTTAGCACCGTATGACAGTATGTGACATTGGGTATTGAATAAACATATCAAATACTTTAAAAACCCTTCAAGTGTGTGCCGGTGAATTACTTTTACTTACAAATTACTAGACATGTGCGCCGGCAAAAAATTTTTTTTAGTTTCAATTTGATTTGTTTAGGATGTTTCCCTGTTTTTTTGGGGGTATTTTTTTTGCCAATTCCTGCCTCTGCTGATTTGACGCCAGGCAGCGGGTGGGGCAAAAGCCAGCCTGCTATTTCAATTTTAAATCGCGAATAGCAGGCTTTGTTTATTTCACCGAACCCCCCCCCCCCCGGGCCCGTAAACACTTTGACGGGCGGCAAGTATTTTGGGGGGGGGTCTGCATTACAATTTATGTAGAGGGAGGAGTCATTACTCTGATTACTACACTGTTGTGTGTAAATCTCAGACTAAAGTAGAACTGAAACGCAAACTTTTTTTTTAGTTTTGGATAAAGTAAGAGACGTGTATAACACCTGTGAGCTTTTTTGCCATGTCCCATTGCGTAGATTTCCCTTCACTTCCCGTCTGATAGCCACAACAGGGACTCAGAGCAAATCCCTCCAAAGAGAGAGAAATTCTTGGTGGTTAGCAGGTTCACCAGAGTCAGTGTCCTTATTGAAAGATTTCCCATCTATTCCTGTTCTGATGACAACTAAAAAATTGGCATTTACTTTCAATTTCAGTGATAACAGTCACCAGGACACATGGAGAGGATACATCTGTCTTATGGGGACATAGACAGCAATGAAAACCTGACAGGTGTTCTGATCCCTCACCACTATATCCAAACCACAGATTTGTTTTTAACAAAGCCAATTAGTATTGCCTGAAGAACATGTAAATGAACCTGCATCTCCCTCTGCTGGTTACCCTACAACTGTAAATACAAAAACAATTTCCCTAAAGCAGTAGTTTTGAAAGCTGTCATATGGTATGCTATTTGTAAGTGATCATATTTCTTTTCTCGGCTGTACGTGAATATGATATAGTTCGGCTATGGAGAATTCTGTAACTTATTTACATTTCTATTTTAGTGTTTTTTAATCAAAAAATAATCTGCCCATTTAAATTTAATAATTCTGTGATCTGTATAATACAAAATGTCAACATAGACATATCAAGTAAGATTGAGTGGAGAAATTAGTTATATGTGAATAGGCAGAGTTTTACGCATAAGTAGCTCTCAGAAATTAACCTTTTTTTCTTCTTCTTTTCTTTGTGGTTTAATAGGTGCAGCGGGAACTTGCAGCTGTTATTGCCTTGAAAGCAAGAAAATCTAGTGAGTACTCATGAACACTTGGAACGTGTGAACCAAACAGTAGTTACATATCTTACTAATACACAGTGTTACTGCTATGGATTTATTGATGGAAATTCCAAATTCTCAGAATTCTGTCTGTTCTGTAGTTTATTTATCCAGCTAAAATAGCTTAAAACAACCCAAAATACTCTCAAAAGACAGCTCAGCTTCAGCACACGCCAGATTGCCAGTCTGCACCTGCAGATGCACAGTGATCATAACTATCATCAGAATGCAGCTCAGCAATTTACATTGCTATTTATACCACTGATCCATGAGCTGGGTGTTGACCCTTGTTTGATAAATCCAAGTGAATACACATGGAAATAACCTTTCATTTTAATAAATCCACTACAGAAGGTTACTAGCAGTCCAATTTTTTAACTGGATAGCCAGATTCGTGGTTGATAAAGGTTACATAGCCTGAAAACTTCCCCACTGGGGCTGAGAGGTCAAGTGCAGCTTGTCAAGCAGTTGGTATCATAGTGAAAAATGGTATCAATCTCACCTCTGAAGGGGAACAAAGTTGATTTGCCAGCCGTCTGGCATGGATTGAGGTGGGTGCAGATCTCTTGGCTCTGTCAGTTTTTTTTGGCATAGCTTTCCTGTACATTCTGAAATAGGGTCATTAGTGCATTTTATACCACACCTAGTAAATATCAGCAAAGACTGTCCATCAGGACAGGGTCCCTAAAATTCTTACTTTGACATGGACAGGATATTAGACAGGGCAGTATCTTTCTAATATGGCAGTGTTTCTGAAACAACACTTTCTGAAGTTACATGGTAGCAGTCTATAGTGAAAAAAAGTGTCTATCTGGCCTGAACTGATTGCAGATGTAACAGCTAAAGATTCAGCAGGAATCAGACAAAATTTGTTTTGTGGGTGGCCCTATTGCACAAAAGTTGATAATTAGATTGACTTTTGTCAAAGAGACATGCTGGAAAATTGTCAGGCGAACAGCGCGGCTTGTGAAATTTTGACTGCATAGTCACCTACTCCCCAGTGTATCTTGCATTTTATCCCACACTTCTGTGTGCAGTAGGAACTGAGATGCTGACTTTGACAGCTCACTCCTCTTCATTCCCAGCCACACTCTGCAAAGGAGGTGGCCTCTTGACTGACAGCTCTTATCTTGCTGTCTCTGCACTTTCCCAACACAAAACAAGGCTCCCCTTTCAGTGAGATTCCTATGAGAGCGTGCACCCTCCCTCTGACATTGCCTGTGTGTACTATTTTTGAGATCGCACCGCACTGGAACGCAGGGCATTTTATTACCACATGACCCTGTGCAGCTGATTGCATTGCGGGTGGGGGGCGTGTCTGCAGTGCCATTGACTTGAATGACACTGCCACACCCCCTTCTGCCCCAGAACGCAAGGAGATTTTATGTATGCGATCCCTTGCATTCTGGGTATGGGACATTGCAGTAGACGCGCAGGCTGTTGGAAACAAGCCCTATATCTGATTCTTTGCTGCACACAGAAGTCAGATGCAGTCACTCCTCAGGTATTGTGGAGTGGCGTCTGCTGCAACTAACTGAATACAATAGCTGGATTTGGTGAGTCCTCCATCCATGCAGGAACACTTAAACTTAATGTCACACCTACTAGTTTATGATGTGGTAAGAGGTATATATTTTAATAGCAAAACAAATAAGAAAAGAGTAAAGGCTTTTCTTTTACATGTTTATTTCCACTTTACCCTTTGTGCAGTAGAGCAATTTTCCCATGCCATATATGCAGAGTGTGCCGTGCTTTAGCAAAGATCAGACAACAAGCAGTTATATAATATATCTCCTATTTACACTATGATTCCTTTGCCAGGATCTTTACTGCACTGATGTCAATTTATCACACACGTACATTTGTATAGGGATATAAAAGAATGATAGCGGAAAACTGACCGTTGTGCTTCTTAGCTTGCTATTGTTGGTAAAAAAAACAACCATTAAGAAAGAGACCATTGTTCTTCCTTCTCTTCGTTTATATTCAACCCAATGACACCATATGAGGATCATCTTAGCCCAGCACCAAATGAAAAAACAACTTTGGAACACTGTAGTCTTTTATATTTAACGTATTGCAGTGGTTGAGTTTAGAAATCCTTCCTTTCAAATGTAAGACTGCACTGTCATTCTGATTGTGATTATGGGTCTAAAGCCTAAAACTGGCTATAAATGAAGAGATTTGATTGTTAGGATATAAGCAATTAAACCCTTAAATAATCCTTCTGTTACACATCAAGTATGTCAACTGCTTAGTGTGATCTACCCAATACTGGCCTATAGGTTGGTAATGGCAATAGTGGACATACTGGGGGTGATTTACTAACCTAAACACACGCACGCACCAGGTGTGTGTGATTTTCACACAGCAAAACGTATTTATCAACCAAAAAGTCTCTAAAAGCATATTTCCACTAATGCCATATATGGAAAAATCATGCACATGATGCATATATAATGCTGCTTCACAGTTTAGACAAAAATGGTTAGCTCATGCATTTACATTCCTGCATTCATCAACGCAAGCAACACAACATAGAGCTAATTTACACAACATCACCTTGCAATTCATGCTTGGCTTTGCACAACACACCTGCTGGGTGTGTACACACTACAAAGGTGTTTAGATTCCACCCATAGATCATGCTGGGAGGGAACACACTGCAGAGGTGTATACATGTTCGTGGTGTGTTTATAAGGTTAGTAAATCAACCCCACTGACTTATGTTGCTCAAAGAGGACAGACTAGTGTTCCCATTAGGGAAATGCAGGATGATCAACGATAAAAGAGGGCCTGAGCCAAACTTTAATCAGGAATCATCTATTCAGGGGGCATCTTGCAGTCAACAAGTGCTGGCAGAATCTAATGCACCACGGTAGCTTTGTGGTTAACACTTGCCATGCAGTACTGGGGGTTCCCGGTTTGAATCCCAGTCAGGACACTTTATGCAAGGAGTTTGCATGTTCTCCCTGTGCTTGCGTGGGTTTCTTTCCACATTCCAGAGACATTCTAGGTTAATTGGCTCCTTTCTAAATTGACTCTGTATGTGTGTGGAATAGGGACCTTAGATTGTAAGCTCCTTAGGGCAGGGACTGATGTAAATGTGCACTGCAAAGCGATGCGTATATTGTCAACGCTATATAAATACATGTAATAATAAATGATGCTGTTGTATAGTGCCCAAGTATCAGGAAATTGTATACATGATATGTCGGGTAGTGGTTGTAAGTCTGGGAAACCTGGTGGACAACATATAAAAGGACGGTGTTAAGTTAGTAAAACCTGTTGGATAACATATAAAAAGGGATACTGTAGCAAAGTTGTGCACATATGGTTAAGCAGAGTGGTGGGAGCAGCTAGAGGTGCCCAGATCATTTTTCTTCTCCTTTGCCCCTTTTAGTCTATAATTGCTATTAAATAATCAGCCATGTGCTGAGGTATCTGTTTGATTTCGCTCATCAGATGCAACTTGCCAAGTGGCTTGAGCCTATTTAGGGCTGAACTCAATAAGATATGTTTTTATGTAACCTTACTCTGTTATACCTCTGAAGTGTCCATATTTGGTTGTTTGAGCCGGATAGGGGGATTGTTGTGTGACTTTGCTGTAAATCATACACTAATTGTATTGCCAGAATTGACTTTGGGCATTATCCTCAATCACCTCTTGCCAGCTTTCTTCAGGGCAGCATTTTTATATGTGACTTATTGTGCTATGGCCATTCAGAAAGTGAAGACAGATAGTGTGCCTACAGTGATGGGGAGAAACACTTACTGCTGCACATTTATTTCATTGTTATGCTGCACCTGATGAGAAAAATCAATATCTCCATACCAAGCATGGATTTGATCTGTTCTTTGAAGCTGGCACTTACATTTCCCTCAAAGAATAGCACCATTTTATAAATTGGGTGGCGTGATGTGGCATGAATTTGAAGTGAAAAGCCCATCTGACAAATTACCTCCCTTCCAATGTCTGTGCTGTGGTTGTGTGATATATCTGCTTCCTTCTATCAAACAATAACATTGTCAATATGGGAAAATCACTTTTGTTGTGTTCCTACAGTGGGAGCAGTCACCGTGCTTTTCTAATCTCGGGACTTTCTGCAAGATTCCTTTGTAAGAAAAGGGAAGTGTTTCTGTGTATCTTTCTTTCGGCCAGTTTCCTATTTTTTTTCTCCTTTGTTTCCCAACAGACTGAACACACATATAACTGTCTAAAATGTAAACTAGTATAAGGATCATTCGGCGTGTTATATACCATGTCAAATGTTTAAAGTAGATCTAAAACATATCTAGATTCATTTTAGTTTGCTTAAGCAATGTGTATCATAAACAATTTACACCTTTCTTTTTAATAAAGTACTTGTTTTCACCTTTTTTTCACCATCGCCTGTAAGTCAGTGCCCACGATCGGCCTCCTGATGGCGCCAGTGGTGGAGCTTGCCTGCACAGTTGTTACCCTTAATAGAGGGGGGTGTATTTTTAAATTTTACAAAATTGCAGACCCTATTATCCTGCAAAACTGAATGTATGTTCTGTGTGAATGGTGACAAAAATGCATATTATTAATATATTTTTTTCCAGATCGAATGTAATGTCAGGAAAATACAGCATAATGGCCACTAGATGAAGCGAGGAGCATGGGAAATTAGTATGTATTTTAAGTCCTCCTCAGCTCCATCTAGTGGCCGCCTTAATGCGGTGTTTGCCTGATATTACATTCCTCCTGGAAAGAAAATACTGATTTTCAATAGACTGTGTTCAGTTCACTTGGTGAATGTCAGTGCTAATTATTTGTGTCTAACTGTAATTAAATGATTAGCTCAAGTGTTGTAACCCTTGCAGTGGGGCTACCCAGTGCTCATTTGTGTGGTTAACAATAAAAACAATTATACTCACCCAAACCACCGAGCCGGCTTGCTCTTAGACCGGTCCCTGTAGCCTCTCTGCCCCCCCGCCGCAGAAGTCTA